GCCTTCTCCTCTTCCATATTTTCTTTGACGAGACACATTAACAAAGAAAATCCTGCTGAATGCATATTTACTTAACGAATAACAGCGTACAGAAGAGTGGAAAATTGCGACACTCGTCCATTATCTAAGAAGACAATACCGTAGCAACTACCATTTTCTTCACGTATTGTCTTCTCCAACGACAACACTGCAGCTCTTCCCATATATATATATATATATATATATATATATATGAACCACGTTGTGAGGGAAAGTTGGCATATGAGAGGTTAAATTAATTACTATCCACCTTAGGGGTATACGCGATCGTTGGCATCATCTACGTTGCTGCTAACACCCATTCCTGGAAGTATTCCAACAGCTGAAAGAGAAGAAAGAGAAGAAGAGCCGAAAGAGAAGAAGAGATCGTGACATCTGCAACTATTTTATTATTATTGTTATAAGTATTTATTAGAGTAATGATTGTTCAATCTGTAGAATTCTCAGCAGCCTCACTTTTCTACGAGGCCAGGAAATTACAGATAAACAGAAACGGTGCGGATGAGAATTTGACTAGTGGTAAACAATTTACCATTACAAGATACTAGATACTCTTCTGTATCTAATAAACTCGGTTTGTGTTTATTGGGTCAAGTATCCGTTTCTCACTAATGATTATAGTGAATCTAGTTTCCACTAATGAACCTCTAGTAGATGTTATACAATAATAAACAGTATTATTGTAATTCTAGTAGACAGTAAAGAGGTAAGAATTGATACTTGAAGATTTAGGTAAAAATAAGAACATACCTTTTACTTACATTAAGGAAAGTCCAATTTGGCACCCCTTTCATTTTACTTGATTAAAATGCCTTTGTTCTTTGTAAGAATTAGTGATTTACATGCATGTTCTGTTTACTACTCAAAGCTGCCATATTGAACGAAAAAACGTCGATTGAGCTATTTTTCGTGGTCTCCAATTGGACGAGTTTAGTTTAGTTCATCTCTATGTATTTTTCATTTTATAGGTCAAATATTTTTAATCAATATTGACCTTTTGTATATCAAGCATGTTTGAATGTTTTTCACGTGTTTGTTAATTTGTTAAAAATATATTTAATGCTACTATTAGTGTGCGTTATAATCAGCATCTGATCAGATCTATATAGAACGATAGACTCAAAATTTTGGTGTATAAAACATTTAAATAAATACAAACTATACTCTCTATATGGTAAACATTACACCCAAATTAGAGTCATATCTGTAGTATAGAATATACACTGAATAGTTAGTATTTTTTTTTCTAGTAAATTATACCTAGTCTAAGTACATACTGGAAGTCAGAATACACAGCAGATATTATGTACACAGACTAGAGTTTCGTTAGATCATTTGTAAACACTAGAAACGGAATGGAGTCAGGTTTTATAAATGCTAAACATCTATATAAACTACACACGTATCGTCAATATATACTAGACTAGTCTGAATGGATAATTTATATAAGAACGAAGATTGACATTAACTTCATTTTAAGTGAATGAAGAGTTAGTAGAATCGGAATGGATACAGTAAACCACTAACAAATATTCTTACAGTTAGGTTAAATTATTTTGTATTTAGGAAAGAAACAATATAACCAGACTAGATACAAGTTACTGTTTTACTTTTCCTGTTCTGTTATATATAATAGAGGGAAAGAAAGTATGGCGATCGATCAAAAAATGACCCCTCCTCCAGATTTTTACATACATTTCTGGATTTAGGGGAAGGTTTTTCCTCCATTCGAAGGTTTTTCTGTATGTAAGGATTTAATATGTTTGTGACTAGTCTGACCTTTCTGTTCTTTGAAGATCTTTAATTTAATTGTGATCATATATCAGACTTTTACTAACAGAAAAGTTAGTGTGATTATAATTTACTTGACTGATAACGACGATTAACAAGAGAATTCTGCTGAAAGAGTCAATATACATTTACTATTTTATCAAATTTACGCCCACAATAACATATTCTACATCGTGTTAAAGAGTAAGAGATACATCTCGACTATACGTATATATTATGTATAGATTTTTAAAGAGGAAACATACGACGTAGCAACTGAATTTACTCAAAAGATCAGAAGCAAAGTCAAAAAGTAATTATTTAAAATAATCGTAGGGGAAGGATTTCATTCGGAATCGGTCATTCGTATAGATTACGCCAGTCGGCGAGATTTCATCAAACATTATGTCGACTCGGACTGTTACCATAGCGACAGATGCTAGCCATCTCTGTGATTGATGCGGGACGGAGATGATGCTAAACACAGAATTGTTAAGAGTGATAGAGAGTCGGGATAGAAACTTAAACGCGATTATCTGGGTTAATATATGAAAAAATAATAATAATAACTGGAATTAAACTAGAAAATATGAAATTTTCTATAATATTTAGCAAGGGATGAAGTTTAAAACCGGAAGTGGTAGATGAGAAGTAGGTTAAATGGATTTTTATGCATTTCTATTTGCTTGCGAACGAACGTAATGAAAATGCAAATTCGGTACCTTTTGATATTCAAATATTTGAGTTTATCGAATAAAATAAAGAATATATTTATCGGCTTTAATGTTTTATTATTATGTTGGGTTTTGTGAGTTATACTCGGTTCACACCGGTGGCTGTGTACTATGCCGGACCAAAGTCAAGGCATAGCAACCAAAACAAAACTGAAATTAAAGAAGTGTGTCAGTGTCTGTATTCAGGAATTTCCTAACAATGTGGCATGTATTCAATATAGTGGCCTTCTGTAGTGTTATGTATGTATTTCTACTCAATTCTAATGTTCCCAGGCTTTTGTGTAGTGTGTGTGGTATCACACCTGTACAGGAGAGAACAACAGGTACAATAACTA